ACCTACCTTCCTCCCTAGCCCGTTCATGATGTGTTACGTGACACAGAAAAATTTTACTGACGACAGCGTTTGCATTCATAGACGCAACATTTCCCTAGACCGATTTCTTTTCCTGTAAATTCTGAAGATCTAAAGACATGGAACAAGACTCGAACTCTTTGATTTTGAAGAAAAGCATTATTCAAAACTTTTCGTTAGCGCTTTGCTGCCTAAAGCATATCAGTATGTATGAACTTTGATAACAATAATAATATCAAATTGTCTTACTGAGTCAAATTCTAACGAAGATTTAACTCTTTTTTAACCAAGAGAGATATAATTTATCCAACTAAACTGTACTGAAAGTATATACTGGCGTTTTGTTTACGCCTTGCTCCATTTAGCTCCACAAAACTCAGTAAGGTCACGTAAAAAGGGCGAACGACTTCCTTAGCGACAGAAACCCCAACACAATACACAAAACAAAAACCACAACATTCTTATCATAATTGTAGAGCCTTCTTTTACATCGAGGGTCATGTATTGCGTCTAATTTTTAATCTCCCTTTCTTTAAGCCATTCAAAATGGACGCAAAGTTTGCAATTTAGATGTTCATCTCTCCGCTATATAAAGAAAAACATGTATCAATTGCAATGTCTATTATTTATTTATCGCCAGTAGATTACATTAACAACTTTCTTTCTATGATAGACATCCACTGTTGAATTCTGAGAAAGGAAGATACTGTTTCTTAGAAGCTGAAACGGGATTGCTGTATTTACTTTATCAAAGATGATTCTTAAATTACTCGCAGACCGTACAGTTTACATGGCGTGCTATCTTAGATTGTGGTGAACGAGGGCATTAGAAGCAAAATCAAACCTAACAGATTTGTAAGTAGAGGAAAAAAAGTAATCACGACCAAACAAAGTCAAACAACTGAAATAGCAAAAGATGATACGGTCAAAAAGATAAATCTGTTCTGATCGTTTATCGGTGACCGACTTTTTGATTCGTTCATGGCTTTATTGAGTTTTTGGGTAGGTTTTTGGTTTGTCAAGTTTTCATATGTTCAACACTGAATATGGGATGGCATCTTAGGGGAAATTTTTGCTGAGGCGAGGCTCAGAAAATGGTTAATTGTTGAATCATATTCATCTGTAAGTGACTTCTTTAATTGAATAAAATATCTAAATTAAATCTCCTTCATAGATTTACTGTTGGAGTGTCGAAGGTGAGCATAGAAGGCAACTTTTGGGAGTCCAATTTCAATGACAGATTCAAGTGGAGGTTTGATTGGGGGAAGTTGCACTGGCGGATTTTTCTTCTTGTGCTTCGCGCTTTACATGCTTTACACACTATTGAGATCTGATCCAAGACCTCATCCAGTTGAAGTTGTCGTTCGCCATGAAATTGGAGCCTCTTCACAACAAAATGGCGCTAGTGCCGACACACTCCCTCCACCATCTTCCGCATTTTACGAGCCCTGCTCTATTGAGCCGGTTTGTTTTTCTGCTGGAAAGAACTGAATT